CTGTTTGTGCCGGGGGACTGGATCTTTGGGATGAACCAGTCTTTAATGTATTTTGGGGTTTAAAAGCCACTGGGACGTTATGTTTAGCAAATAACCGTCTCAGTTTCTCTGATACTCCCTCAACATATGGAATGACCACTGGTCTGGGTCTGGGTTCCTCCTTTTCACCTGATGGCTGACTGGAGTCCTGTTTGGGTTTCTTCTTTCAGGAAGGCCCAGTTAGGATATCCACATTGCTCTAGAGCCTGTCTTGTGTAGGATTTCTCCTTCTGCCTGGCTCCTGAGTTAGTGGGGATGCTGTCTGCTCTGTGGTACAGAGTCCTGATGACTCCTAACTTGTGCTCCAAAGGGTGATGGGAGTCAAACTGCAAATACTGGTCTGTGTGGGTGGGTTTGCGGTACACCTCAGTTTGCAAATGTCCTCTATCAGAGACTGAGACCTCACAGTCCAAGAAAGCCAACTTGCCATTTTTTACATCTTCTCGTGTGAACTTGATGTATTTATCCACAGAGTTGATGTGGTCAGTAAAATGTTGGACTTCCTGAGATTTGATTTTAACCCAGGTGTCGTCAACATACCTGAACCAATGACTTGGTGGTGTCCCTGAAAAGGACGTCAAGGCTCTCTTTTCTACCTCCTCCATGTACAGGTTGTCAACAATAGGAGAAACTGGAGACCCCATAGCACACCCATGTTTCTGCCTATAATATTGCTCCCCATATGTGAAGTAGGTTGACTGCAGGCACAGTTTCAAGAGTTGACACAGTTGTTCTGTGGAAAGCGTGGTCCTGCTGCTCAGAGTCTGATTTTAATCTTAAACTGACCACCTCTACTGCATCATCAACAGGAATGCACGTAAAGAGTGATGTGACATCAAAAGAGACCATTGTTTCATCAGTCTCCATGATGACATCCCTCACCTTATCCACAAAGTCCATGGTGTTCTGTATGTGGTGTTCTGAGCTGCCAACTAAAGGGATGAGTACAGACGCCAGATATTTGGAAACATTGTAAGTGACAGAGTTAATCATGCTAACGATTGGTCTTAAAGGTACACCTTGTTTGTGGATTTTAGGTAAACCATACAGACTAGGTGTGGCCTCCCCTGGGTACAGTCTGTGGTACAGAATACGGTCAATAGCCTTGTCCTGCTCCAAAATTTTCAGGCAATCTATGAACTTCTTCTTGTTACCACTTCCTGGATCTCTTTTCAGAGGTTCATAAGTGGTCACTTATTAAAATAGACGTTCTATATTTTTCCAAATAATTTCGCTCTAAAAATATTTGTGTTCATCTGTATAATAGCCGATCTTTAGAGTTGATTTTTTAGGCTATTAGTTTTAAATGTTAATATGCATTTGATGATTTATTAATAAAAAATAAATCTTATATCTTCCTTTCTTTACGTTTTGAAAACTATCATGTCAAACTGATTTTCTACAAAATCATTAAAAACTTAATTAAAAAACAAAGTCAGGGTTTTTTTTTTTTCTGGGTTTGGCCCTCTAATAATCTGTGGGGTCTGGGTGGGGCTCAGTGGGAGACTACTGGCTTCGTCCGGCCCGGGACGGATTTTTTAGGCTTGAATGCATAAAAAAAACTGGTTCATCAAACTCAGGCACTAAACGTTTATGAGCTGCTGCAGAATTTACCAAAAACAGTTAATGCTCCAGGTGGACTGAACGGTTCTGAGGTGCAGGTCTGAGACTAGGTGCAGACTAGGTGCAGGTCTCAGACTAGGTACATGTCTGAGACTAGGTGCAGGTCTGAGACTAGGTGCAGGTCTCAGACTA